GCAGGGGGTTGGAACTGGATGATCTTGAAGGTCCCTTCCAACCCAAACCTTTCTATGATTCTATGACTTATCACTGGATGTTCAGGGTTCCTTGAAGAACTTGCCTTGCTTGAAGACCAGGCTGATTGCCCAGCTTGAGGAAAGCTCTGCACAGCCCTGCTACTCCTGGGAGCAATCACAGAGTGGCCAAAGCTCTCAGCAGATCTCCTGCACCTCTTAACAGCAGAAAGATGTCCAAGAGTGTGAACAGACTTTTCCCTGGACCTAGCTGAGCCTGTGGAAACATTTTCAGTTGCTATGAAAAAGCCTCAAGTTACAGACAACAATTTCAAAATCTTTCAGCAAGCAGAATAATTTGAGTTTAAGGAACTGCTTAACTGGAATTTCACCCAGTCGTGACTGCCTTTTAAGATCGTTGGCAAGAAGTACCCACAAACAGGTTTCGTGTATGAACTGAGGTGGAATAACTACGCCTTTATTTCCAGCTGCTATTTCAAAGGCTATGGAAATATCAGAAACAAATTGTTATCCAGCCGTGCCTTCATGGCAGCGCTACGAACCTGCTTTCAATTGGGCTGCTGCAGGGTGTTGCCTCACACCATCCAAGAGGTGACTTCTTTGCTCCTCGTGCTCTTGAGCTCTGATCCAAGCCACGCTCAAATTAATAGGTTCTTGCTAACTTCACCTGGGCTCAGATCCTGTACTTAAAACCCTGGTTAATTAAAAAAAAAAAAGAAAAATGGAGACCAGAATGCCAGGATACGGCCAGGGATGTTGTAGGAAACACAACGGAGCCCACATCAGAGAAAATATTGTAAGAACAGTGGTGTGCATGCCTGAATGGTTCGTTCCTGCACGGTAATTACGTGCTGTTTCACATTGTTGTTTTGTGGGGAAAACACATTCTTGAACGTCAAGAAATAAATCGGCAGCTTTAACCTTGATTTCAAACAGAGAGAGTGTTTTGACGTGAATTGATTCACTTCAATTACAGTTTTGCTTATTTAGCTAGCTGTGATTAAAACCAGCCTTGCCACAAATATAAAAATACAGAAATGGGGATGCCAGATAGAAAATAGGAATTGCCCTGATGGTTTATACCAGCGTGACGCCTTCTGGCTGCAGACTTCTCCACTGGGGTGGGAGGAGAGCAGGTACCACCAGTTGGGGCACGAGTAGTCAGCTCGATGCAGTTGTCTCTGTATTTAAACAACGTGCTTTTAATTGGTATTAAGTCCTGTTCCTAATTATAATATCAGTGGGCAGAGCTTGGCTGCAGATGTCCCTGTGCCTGAATCTCTGATCTGAAGAGCAAAAGATGATGGGTTTCCATCTCTGCACAGCTACTGCAACTGTGTGGAAGAAGAAATCCCAGGGCATAGTAATGGTGGGGTACGTTCTGCTTTGCTGCCCATTCGGTCACTGCTGTCCATCTGTCTCAAAAAAAGTGTCAAAAGGGATGTTTTCTCATTCCCAGGCCTTGCTCCTACCTAAGTGGGACCTGCCAGAGGTGGGGAGCCTTTGGGAAATCCTACCTGTGTGTAACGAGGGCCTGAGTCATCCCAGGGAAATGCCACCCCAGGGAAACTCCCCAGTGGCATCATCGGGCTCTGGCACCTGGCCAGAGTCTGGGAAACTTCCTTATTTCTCTCTCCTACACAGGGGATATTCCTCAGCTCTGCCGAGGCAGATGAGAACATAAATCTTGTCCGCAGATATCTGGTATGAGTAATTTTTCCAAAAGTAAATAAATCATCCCCGTTTCCTCTTACCCACAGCACCTGGCAAACTGCTAACTGAAAAAAACTGAGAAAACGTTGTCTCATTTGTGAGCCAACTTAAATCCTGCTACAAATCTTTATTTTTAATTCCTTGTTAGAAAACAGAACCAACTGAAACTGGCTGGCAGAGGAAATGCCACCCCCCTGGCTTTATTTCCCCCCCGGCTCTGCCTGGCTTAGGACTGTAACTGCCAGTTTCTGTTTTCGCCTCTGTAGAATTATGTGCCTCTATTTGAAACTTTTGACAAATCAGTCTATTTTCATTCTCCCTCTGCCATAAATTCAATCCATATGTCTTGAAACATCCTTTCATAGCTTTAACATGGCAAAGGAAGTGGCTCCGGCTCTGTATGGGAGGCCGGAGTGTATTTAAAGCGAGCTCTTCTCGTTTGCATGCACTGCTTCTGTTAGCTCTTAAAGCCTCGACTTCCTAATTATTCAGGTTACAGAGGGCATTGGCAGAGTTTTCCCCCTGAGCTAACAGCGATGTACAGTGAAGAAGTGCAACGGGGATAAATCGTTCCCTTATCCTCCAAAATATCCAGGAAGTTTTTGATGCAGCCCTTGGCGTTACCACCAAGCAGGATGCGAAGCGGATGTGAAAAAGGGTTGGGAGAGATCAATTCGGCGTAAAATTTCAAAAGAAAACCTCAAGACAAAAGCAACAAAGCTCTTCAGCCGTTCAGCTGGCAGGGGTTTGTTTGCCAAGAAGCCACAGCACCTACGTGACAGGAGGTCACTGCAATGGGTGTAAAATGTCTCCACAGCTGAGGCTGAACCGGGGTCAGAAGGTGAGGCTGGGAAGGAAACGTGGGTCTAAGCTGGAAGATACTGGTCTGGCTGTGCATGGATCAAAGCTGGAAAATCAAAAATACAGGATGCAGCAGGGTAAAAGCACAGGCAGTCATGGCTGTGAGTGTCCTTGTCTGAAATCACAGAAAATTTGGGCTGGGGCATACTCGGATTGTGGGATAGACCCGTAATTAAAAATATGGGAGCAACTGAACACAACTGGGATCCCCGGTTCAAGAAGGACAGGAAACTGCTGGAGAAGGTACAGCAGAGGGCTATGAAGATGATGAGGGGACTGGAACATCTCTCTGATGAGGAAAGGCTGAGGGACTTGGGTCTTTTTAGTCTGGAGAAGAGAAGGCTGAGGGGGGATCTGATCAACACCTATAAATATTTAAAGGGTGGGTGTCAGTAGGATGGGGACGGTCCTTTTCCAGTGGTGCCCAGTGACAGGACAAGAGGAGGTGGGCACAAACTTGAACATAGGAAGCTCCAGCTAAACATGAGGAGGAACTTCTTTCCTTTGAGGGTGGCAGAGCCCTGGAAGAGGCTGCCCAGGGAGGTGGTAGAGTCACCATCCCTAGGAATTATTTAGAAGATGGGTAGATGTGTTGCTGAGGGACAGTGGTGGTTTGGGCAGTGTTACATTGGTGGTTGGACTCAATGATCTTAAAGATCCCTTCCAACCAAAACCATTTTATGATTCTATTCAACTAATGGATTTCTGGGAGAATCCAGGGGAGGTGATATTTTTTTGGCTCTCTGTGTTGCGCTGACTTGCATTGCGGCCGCAGATCTGCCACGCTCGACCAAAGATAAGGGGTGCAAAGGATGGTGGGAGGGGGTGGGGGGTGTTAATGCTCCCCTTTTAGAGACCACCTGCATCTTAATGTGAGACAGTATGTCAAGTTTTTTATAGCATCCTTGGTCTTTGCTGCCATTCCCAGCCAATTCACCCAAATGATCTCTAATTTGCCAGCAATGGCAATGAGTTATCAGGTCCAGCAGGTCCAGAGAGGTGATTCTGCCACTTTGCTCTGGTGAGACCTCACCTGGAGTATTGTGTGCAGGTCTGGAGCCCTCAATATAAGAAGGACATGGACCTGATGGAGAGGGTCCAGAGGAGGTCCACTAAAATGATCAGGGGGATGGAGCACCTCTGCTCCGAGGACAGGCTGAGGAAGCTGGGGTTGTTCAGCCTGGAGAAGAGGAGGCTCCGGGGAGACCTAATAGCAGCCTTCCAGTACCTGAAGGGAGCCTACAGGAAGGCTGGGGAGAACCTGTTTAGAAAGGCCTGCAGTGACAGGACGAGGGGCAATGGCTTCAAGCTGGAGGGGAACAGCTTTAGACTGGAGATGAGGAGAGGGTTCTTCACTGGGAGGGTGGTGGAGCACTGGAACAGGTTGACCAGGGAGGTGGTTGAGGCCCCATCCCTGGAGATATTCAAGGTGAGGCTCAACAAGGCCCTGGGTAACCTGGTCTAGTTGGGGGTGTCCCTGCTGACTGCGGGGAGGTCGGACTAGATGACCCATGGAGGTCCCTTCTGGCCTGGGAAATTCTATGATTCTAGGATTCTAGGATATGCAAAAAATTGGATGGGGTCCCAATTAACAACTTCCCCAAACTGCTTGCAAATCCGTTCGATGATTCTAGGATATGCAAAAAATTGGATGGGGTCCCAATTAACTGCTTGCAAATCTGTTCATTCTGCTCAGTCGCTGCGTATTAATGCCCCCGTGTGCAAGAAGAGAAAATGGATGGAAGGAGAGTGTGTGTGTGTGTGTGTGGTTGAAGCGTGTGTGCGATGTAATTATCTTTGCTAATCTCTCTGTCTCGCAGAGGGGTGATTTATGGCCATGAAAATATCGCCAACCTTCAAACGTGTGGGCGTCGTTTGGCGTATCCAGAGGTTCATGCATGTAGAAACCACCGTCTGTGCGTGCGGGTTCAAAGCCCTGGCACGGCCCCCCCTGGTTTTGTTTTCAGAGTTGCAGAGGTTTGCAGCTCCCGTTTACCTTAGATGGAGGCTTTGAGGTTGATCTTCCACACCTCCGAAAAATCAGGCCTTTCCAGGCAGCGATCTGCATACAGCTGTTCCCCACCGAGCTGCCTGTGCACAGCCGCCTTGTTGTATAAACAACATTAGAGACTTCGCTAAAGCTTTTCATGTAGTTTTATCTCAACTGCAATTTGTTTCTAGTTTTTCAAGGCCGTGGAAGCATCCAGCCTCACCCTCTGCAGCCTGGTTTCACCGTTTCAGCCATTCCGATGGTATTTACGGCACTGTTTGACTTTATTTGAACTGTTCAAAAGACCTCAAGTGCCCCAAGAAGGGTGCAGATGTGTTCAAATTCTCTGTTTCTCCTATCAGTAGAGATTTGCTTTTTGGCTTCTCTGACTTCAGGTGTTCCTTGCTCTCCTCCCCAGGTGTCCTGTCCCTGCCTGCCTACTTCAGCCCCTACAACGACGGCTCCGTGAGCAGCGATGGACGGGCTGATGCTTATGCCCAGCTGGAACTCCGAACTTTAGAGCAATCTCTGTTGGCAACTTGTGTTGGGAGCATCTCTGAACTGAGTAAGTTTTGGGTATAAGCAACCGTGGGGTTCTCTCAGGGAAGCAGGAGAGCCAGGCCCGTTGCCGTTGTTGACAGTTGCGTAAGATTTAATTGTCTCGTGGTGCTGTTTATGAAATTTCATTAGGCTACTTTATATTTAATTCCCCTCGGAGATGTATAAGATGTGGCTTTTCTTGCCTTTTGGTAAGTGGTGTTCGTGCCAACAGAAGGTGGATGCTTTTGCTTAGATGCCTCTGGAGGTTTTCTCATGCTCTTGTGGAACACAGCACCTCCCTCAGATGGCAAAGAGGGTTCTCTTTGTTAGGGTTTGTGCGGTGGAAATGTCCAGGGTGCAGGATAGTCAAGGAAAAGCTTTTTTGGTTACTTAAAAAACAAAAAGCAGCGAAAAAAAAAATATCTGAGAGCACTTTGGTAACAAAAACGTGTTCAAACCCTTCTTTTTTACTGCTAACCAAATGAAATGTTCCATTCCTAGACTACTCAAAAGCCCCTTTAAAGTAAACAAAAATGATTTGTGTTTTCCCGGTCTACTTTTCCCTTGCAACATTTCTGCTGGCATCGCTTTCTTAGTCTCCACCATCTGAATGCTAATGAATATCAGGGCCAGCGAGGAGTTTGTGGGTTTCACCATTTATTTTGCAACCTGCCTTAATTTGAGGTTTTCAAATTCCTTTAACACACCTCTATTTATCCTGGAACACAAGAGAACATTTGTAGCATGGGCCCAAGATTGAATACAGCTTCCTCTCTCTCTTCCCCCATCCCTGCTTTGGCCAACTTGGTCATTACATCTAGTGAATAGATCTCCTGATACAGTTGCCTACTTTTTTTTTTTTTTTTAAATTAAAAAAAAAAAAATGTTGCTGCACGTTGCCAGAAAAATAAAGAGAGTGAGTGTGCAAAGGAGAAGGAACGTTATTCTGAGCTGAAAATTTGAATTCCAGATGCATTTCTGCTATAACTGCACAGATTTCTGTGTTAGTACCAACGCTGGAGGATTCATGATGCTCTCGTAAAACGTTGGGATCCTGGAGGGTCGAGAGCTACTGAAGTGGGAAGGCAGAGATGTTAGAAGGTTTTTCTGAAGTGGATCTTTAAATTGAATGTACACCAAAGGAGTGGCACAGCTTCACATTGCAGACTGAGATATTTTTAATCCTCTATCAATCTGAACCACTAATAATATTATTATATTCAGACATAGAGTAGCTTTGTGGGGGATTCTCTCCCCTTGGTTTAGCTGCAGGTTATTTAGCAAATTCAGTGTATTGCTGTTAGATATAAATGAACAAATAATAACTTCCTAAGAATTTCAGAGGGAGGTGTGGCTAATTGATATGTGGCACAGCAAAGTTCAGGTCGCTTTCTCAGGAACCACCAGCTTTGTGATGGGGCGACTGTTTCAGTTCCATCCTTTCCCAGTATTGTAACTGTGGGACACAATAGAGTAGCATTTCCTCTGAGAGTTTTAGGGGACTGTAAAACATAAAGCAACAGGGGATTCTCCCAAGGAAAAAATAGATTCCAGCTATGTATAGTAATCTGTAGTAATCGTTCAGTCCCACTACTCAAAGAAGTAGGGTCTGAAATCTTTATGGCCAAGCTCTTGAGAGTTTGTAGCGCCACAATAAAAGAAGAGTAAACAGGGTGTGCCCAAAGCCAAGCTTATTACACAAAGACCAGCTTTATGTGCCTGAAGCACTGCTGTCCTGGGGTCATTGCGCTGTCAACTTTTTAAAACTCTGCAGTCTTAAAATCCTTTCCGAGTAGGAACTGTGTAATGCTGGTCACCTTCTTCCAGGCCCCCTCAAGTCCCCCAGTGCCCTCACACAGAGGCAGGTTGGCTCCAGTTCAAAGACCAAGAGGACTGAGCAGCCCAGAAAGCTCCCGGATTGAGCTTCTTACAAGGCTCAGGGGCAAATTTCTGGCAAGTTGTGACAGTTGGCGTGATAAAGATTGGCTTTTTAATAGGAGAGTCAGGTCTTGTTATCCTGGAGAAACCTGCAGCTAGAGAGAATGAGAGAAGCAGACCCCGAAGAGAAGGGATTTCTCTGTTGAAATTTCTCATTAGTTTGTCACAAGTGCCTGGGTGGGAGGGTAGAAAGTCATAACCCAGTTGAAAGAAATGGGAACAATCTCTCAACATAAAATAGTGATGCTATAAAGTATTTGTACTGGTGTTACTGGCCTTGCCTTGTAAAATCTGTGCTCTCAGCTTGGGCCGTGGACATTTTACAAAGATATCAGTAGTTTTTGTAGGCAGGAAAGAAACTGATACATGTGATTGGAAAAAGAGAAAACCAGCACTAAAACGAGGTAGAAAAATCACTCTAAAGCTGTGGTTCTGAATATATGGTGACTGAGAGAAGTTTTGTTCTCTATTTTCTAACTAAAACTTGTCGTTGGGAAGAAAGTTAAATTTCCCATGCAGCAACCTGCAAAGTGGCAGCTTGAGGAGACCTTATGCCTTTGCAGAGGAAAAAGAAATACGTGCACACAAAAGACACTTCTCTGAGCTGCGAGACATTTTATTTAGTTCCCAAGGTGTACTCAAGAGGGCTGTGGATGAATAATAAAGGGGTGCTTTTCCATTCTTCCTCTTTGTGCAGGTGATTTGGTGTCCCGAGCGATGCACCACATGCAGTGCCTGAACACCATCCGCCCAGGGATGAGCCCCATCCGGCAACCCCGGCAGCAGCAGCCCATCTCCTGGTCCCCCGATGCTCTCCACACCCTCTACTACTTCCTACGCTGTCCTCAGATGGAGTCCATGGAGAACCCCAACCTCGACCCTCCGAGAATGACCCTGAACAACGAACGGTACGTAGGGGTTGGCCAAGTCTTAGTAGGCAGGGAGTTGGCCAACTGTTAGTAGGCAGGGAGTTGGGCTGAGAAGGTCTCCTTCTGTAGAGTCACCGCGTGTGCATGTGGGATGCTACCTATCAGGCATCAGTTATTCCTGCAGTCACGCCAGGTTACGTTGTCAGCCCTGCCAAGTTTACGAAGCCTTGGAATTGGAACTGGAAAGTGAGCTGTTTTTTCATGCAATCTTTCCGAGCGAGGCATATACTCTGTGCTGCCAACAAGGCTTGTCTAGAGACGCTGCCAAAAGTACATGTGGTTGCCTAAAGCAGTAAAGACCTTACCAAAGAAAATGTTACCTTCTGAATGGTGCCAATTAACAATTGTCATCGTTCTTGGGAAAAGCAATGTGGAGAGGTTCGAAGGGATTTATGAACATCCTTCTAAAGGATTACTTCAGTTGATGCTGTGTGTCTGGTATAGAAAGAAACTTATACAGGAAGCCAATAACTAAACAGAAAATGCAGTGGGTCTCCCTACCTTCTGCCAGCATCATAACTGACTCTGAAAGTAGGCCCATTATTAGAGCGGGTCAGAAATTTTCCAGCGGGATGTTTTTTCTGTTAGAAACCTCCCTGGTTTCCTTCCTGCCCAGCTCCTTGGCCGTCTGCCTGACAGGCTGGTGGCAGCGCAGAGCTGAGGAGCCCTCGGAGCTCTGGCCACAAGTTGAGTTCCTTGACGGGTCAGGCAGCTCCTCAGCTCAAAGGGAGACCGATAGCTGCCCACCTTCCACTTGCATCCTGCAGGGACACCCAGGCCTCTCGGAGCTTGTGAGGTTTCCCCAGTTTGAAATGCATAGCCAATTGTGTAATTATTTCAGAATAAATGGGAAATTGTGGTTTCTGATTAATGCTTTCTAGTATTTGTAATCACTTGCTCCTTGGACATCGTTTAGCCTGCTGGACATCAGACCAGCAGGAGAGTCAGGTCTTGTTATCCTGGAGAAACCTGCAGCTAGAGAAGGAATGAGAGATTCTCTCTCTCTATCCTGGCCCTTCCCAAAAGCAGCCCGTTGTTGGGAAGCTTTGTAGTGTAGTGAGGTGTGGAAGCCTGGGGTGGAGGCCACATTGACAAACCAAAAAAAAAAAGCAAGGTGCTTGTTGGACAGGTGAGCAGGGAAAGGAGAACATCTCTGTAAATAGTGTGGTTTCTTCTTCCCACCTTGGGCTTTACTGCACTGAGCCCCAGCTTCTAAAGTTGGTATGAAATCATGGTAGCATACAAAGAATCAATTCTTAAAATTCATTCTAAAAAAAAGCTACAAAAGTTAGACCTGTCCCTCTTCTTCCTTTCTTCTTCTGCAAGTGTGGGGATTATGGTGTTTTTTCCTCTGCTCCATGCTTGTCCCACCTTGGGCTTTACTGCACTGAGCCCCAGCTTCTAAAGTTGGTATGAAATCATGGTAGCATACAAAGAATCAATTCTTAAAATTCATTCTAAAAAATACAAAAGTTAGACCTGTCCCTCTTCTTCCTTTCTTCTTCTGCAAGTGTGGGGATTATGGTGTTTTTTCCTCTGCTCCATGCTTGGTAGCCTGTTTTGGGGGTTTTTTTTTTTTGAGACATTTCCTGATTGTTCTCTGAAGACCACACTGTCTTCAGCCTGCACATTTCTGATGCTGCAGGTCAACCTTTCCTGGCTGATTTCAGCAACCCTAAAGGCTTCTTGTAGCTGCCTTCACCACCATGGGAGCTGTGGCTGATGGCTTCATGGCCAGAGCTTGGCTGGTCAGGAGTGAGAGGACCTCTTGATAGATTGAACTGTCTCCTTCTAAAGCTCTGAATTTTCAGGTCAGGGTGCAGAAAAATATACTGGACAGAAGGCAGCCTCTATAATCTGAGTGCTGGTAAGTTACTTTAGATTAAGGGAAACTTCAAATGAGGAGAAAAAGATGAAGTTGTCACTCCTAGGCTGCCTGTTCTGCTACAGTATTCTGCATGTGGCTGGTCTGTGTAGCTCCCTCCACTCACCATTTGTTTGCATTTTCTCTTGGTTCCTGAACCATCTTTCTGCACTTTACTGTAGTTTGTACTGAACAGACCCCTTTGGGGTCTCAGTAAAAAAGGTTGTCTTTCTGTTTGTCCGATGCTCCCCCAAAATCCCTTCGAACAGAACAATCTGTGAGCAGAACTGTAGCATCAGAGAGAGAGAACTGATGAACACGTGTGGAGAACCAAGAGGAATTAAGTTGAATAAAACAGGAATAGGAAGAGGCACGGCTGCACAACTTGGAGCTCTGGGCTCACTAATCTTAATCAAATTCCCTACCCAGTGCAAGATGGTTTATTTTGCATTTCATGTTTGCACACTGTGCAAAAAAAACCGAGTTTTTATGGGGCCAGGTTCTGTAAAGTTGTACCACTAGTTCCCACCCTCGTACAGCTGAAGCTGCTAAACAGCTTGTATCAGAAATGTAGATGAAGCTATTTTGTGTTGTGCTCTTTTCAGTACTCTTCAGTGTAATGATGTTACCGCAGCTACTTGTTTTGTACACTGGGGATAATAAATGAGTTAGATCAGGAGGGCAGTTATCTCTCCAATTGCTCCCAAACAATGCTCTTCACATGGTTCACTGGAGGGTTTTTGGAATGCAGGCTGCAACTCTATTCTGTTTTAAAATCCGCACTAGATCCTGTAACAGCTGGTGTAAGGGAAATTTCTGCCATTTCTTTCTGACCAGTACTTAGCTGTAAAGGAAATTAAAGAGGATATATTAAAATGGAGTAAAAACTGACATTAGGGGGGAAAAAAACAGAACTGGAAGACTATCAGTTTAAACAATTGGCTATGAAACCTGGAAATAAAATTAATAGTGCCCGGTATACCAGAAATGAACCTCCAACCTTACCTTTCATTTGTTCTAAGATGTATTTGTGTGTGTCTTACTGCATTCGCCTGTGCACATATTATTAAGCATAACCAGGGGGATAAATATTGCTGGGAGCATTTTTTCAGAGGAGATAGTTTACTCTTTCCTTGCTTAAAAGGAGAGATGGTCGAGCGTGTATGATGCCAGACTCATGGCATGATTGATGGGGGCACTGATTCACCTAGTGTGACCTGGCAAAGCTGTGCAGCCCAGGTTTGGGCTCTAGAGAGGCCTCTTTAGAGAGGCAGATAGAGGACCTTTCTGTTCTGGCCTCCAAAATGAATGATTTGTGAATGTGGGTGATGGAATGTGAATGATTCAATAGATTGAAACTCTGGAAAGTTTGTGGGTTGGTTATATCTGGTTCTGATACTTAACTCCAGGTAAAGGCGCTGAAGCAGAAGGAGAGGAGGCAGAATTAGAGAGAAAGCACCCAGGCAGTGTGAGTAAAACATCTGAAACATAGAATCACAGAATTGTCTGGGTTGGAAGGGACCTTTAAGATCATCTAGTCCAACCATTAACCTAACTTGGATAAAAAACCCTCACAAAACCATGTCACTAAGCTCCATGCCAACCCATCTTTTAAATACCTCCAGGGATGGTGCCTCAACCACTTCCCTGGGCAGCCCATTCCAAGGCTTAATAACCCTCTCAGTGTAAAAATTTTTCCTAATCTCCAATCTGACCCTCCCCTGGCACAACTTGAGGCCATTTCCTCCTGTCGCCTTGCCTGTTCCTTGGGAGAAGAGACCGACCCCCCCGGCTACACCCTCCTTTCAGGGAGTTGGAGAGAGTGAGAAGGTCTCCCCTCAGCCTCCTTTTCTCCAGGATGAACATCCCCATCTCCCTCAGCCTCTCCTCATAAGACTTGTGCTCCAGACCCCTCACCAGCTTCATTGCCCTTCTCTGGACCTGCTCCAGCCCCTCAATGTCTTTTTTGTGGTGAGGGGCCCAAAACTGGACACAGCACTTGAGGTGGGACCTCACCAGTGCCAAGTAGAGGGGGACTCCTGTACCCCACAGCACTTGAGGTGGGACCTCACCAGTGCCAAGCAGAGGGGGACTCCTGTACCCCATGGGCAAATGCAGCTGCTTCTGTATGACCCACTTGGAACCCTAAAATGACCGTATTTGCTGCACGGCCTCACCAGCTTCATTGCCCTTCTCTGGACCTGCTCCAGCCCCTCAATGTCTTTTTTGTGGTGAGGGGCCCAAAACTGGACACAGCACTTGAGGTGGGACCTCACCAGTGCCAAGTAGAGGGGGACTCCTGTACCCCACAGGCAAATGCAGCTGCTTCTGTATGACCCACTTGGAACCTTAAAAAGACCATATTTGCTGCACGGCCAGTAAACCATCTGCTGTTTGGTGTCAAGTAGGCCACCTGAGGAAGCGTTTTGCAAATACAGAGTGCCACTTGTGCAATACTTTGGCAACTAAATTAGCCCCTGAGGTGAGAACAAGCTGCTTCCCTCCGCACCGATACACCTCCTGCCCCGGAGGCTGAGAGCTCAGCTGCAGCATCAGAGAGCGCGTCTGGCTTCGGTGTGGCAAGAATCATAGAATCATTGAGGTTGGAAGAGACCCTTGGGATCATCGAGTCCAACCATCTCCCCTACTCTACAAAGTCCTCCCCTACACCATGTCCCTCAGCACTGCATCTAAACGGCCCTTAAACACAGCCAGGGATGGTGACTCCACCCCCTCCCTGGGCAGCCTGTTCCAATGCCCGACCACTCTCTCTGTGAAAAATTCCTTCCTAATGTTCAATCTAAACCTCCCCTGTTGGAGCTTGAAGCCGTTCCCTCTCGTTCTGTCACTAATTCCCTGTGAGAAGAGACCAGCACCAACCTCTCTACAGTGTCCTTTCAAGGAGTTGTAGAGAGTGATGAGGTCTCCCCTCAGCCTCCTCTTCCTCATACTGAACAGCCCCAGCTCCTTCAGCCGCTCTTCATATGATTTGTCTTCCAGGCCCTTCACTAGTTTCGTTGCCCTCCTCTGCACTCGCTCCAGCACCTCCAGATCTCTCTTGGATTGAGGTGCCCAAAACTGGACACAATACTCGAGGTGTGGCTGTCTCTGCTGG